CAACAGAATGAAATCATGAAATATGTGCTCGGAAAGCAAAAAATAATGATACACATCTACAAACAGCTATACCACTTAAATAATGTTAACCAATTGCTCTTAGGAAAGGGACAATGGGATGTTGTTGTGAGAATGTGGGGGTGTTATGTGGCGTTGTGCCCAATTTCACCTTTCAGCATTTAGTAACTCAGACAGTATGAGAGGAAACTAGAGCTGAGGTGAGAAGAAATGACATTATATACAAATTTACTTCATTACAATAATTGGAAAAGTGTTGCTGTACAAAGACACAGAGCTAGTTTAGATTCTGATGCTGCTTCGAAGCACAGTCTACTCTGGTGGGGGCTTCTGTTAAGGCTCAGTCTTTGGCAACAGGGGAGGTAGATTTGGGAGGAGATGGGATCCATACCACATGGTGTTGAAGGATAATGTTTTCTACTGCTACTGTGTGACAACAGTGACAACCATCAAACTGTCGTGCAGCTCCTAGAGACTTGTTCAATCAAACTAGTTCAATGATAACATCATTTTTGGTGACTTGGTACATGGGATCAAAGGGGTTAATGGAACCACTTGAGCAATGTCACCATTACACAATCCTTTTGCATTGTGTCAGAGGTTTTGAGGCTGATTAAATTACATTAAACCACCATGTTAGCCTCTAAAGATAGTTTGTGATCCTTGAAAATTGACTTGACATTGCAGCCACACACTGCCTACATTATACCATTCGGACTGCTGCTTGCTGTGAGGCCAGATTGCAAATAACTATGACCTGTCATAATGATGTTTTCACTTATACTTACCAAACAATAATGATATTGTTGTTATTATTTTAAGAGAATAGATCAGATTTGGACTGCAGCCTTGAACATACAGCCCAAATTGTGTATGAAATAAATATGAATAAGTGGAGTAAACCCAGCAGGAACCCATATAAATCAACTTCAGACCCTTTGTTTATCCTCTCTGGGTGGTAAAATTGGCTGATTTTATACAAGCTTTTCATTAATGTGAATGTTTGAATTTTGACGATAGCACTTTACATTGTGTAAGTCATTTTGACAGTAAAAGCAAAATGGCAGACCCTAGGGGTCCTCCACAACGACATATTCTCATAGAAGACACTCACTGATGATGTCACACTATGTGAAAAGTACATTTTTCTATTTCAGTTGAGAATTTACTCAACTGATTGGTTCGGTACAGTAAACTTAAACGTAGGAATAGCCAAAGATCACTTTGTAATCAGAAAAACTCTTCTGAAGAGTGCCCACATTGGCACTTTGTGAGTTTTGGGCCGTGAATTATCTTCAGCACAAAGGTTGACTGCTCATCTCTGTTTTGATCCGCTTTTCACCGCCCTGTTTTTTCTTCCTTCTGGTCTCCTGAACATAAGCTGAAAGTTTGCTTCTTAATTGAGAAAGTCACATGTGAGACAAACACATGCTGTGAGTGAAGACACGCAGGTCACCGGCCTGACAGAGGAGAAAGCAGAGGACAGATAGAAACAGACAATTCTCTGTAGTGACCCCTAAAAATAGCAGCCAAGAAAAGGAACTGCGTGATGTCATTTCTGTGCACCAGTGCTAGAAACGAGTGCATAAATTCCGAGGCTCACCTCAGAGAGCCGATCTTCAGTTGGGCTCTTCCTTTCATCTGAGTAAAACCCTCCATTCTCCCACAAGTTCTTTCGAGACAAAGAACAGACTAGAGACCAGCCAGCCGGCCAGCCAAGCTTTTTTCCCCCCTCTAAATTGCCATCAATTTATTCTTTGTTCTTTCTGATCTGCTACACTGTCACAACTCTGAAAAACTTTCATCTCATCCAAGGCTAGGCCTCTGGTCCTCCCTGTCTCCCACCCTGCAATTATAGAGCACACGATTTTTCAATCCTCTATTTGGCCTGAAAGCAAATCAGCTTCTATTCACTGGAGGACCCGTTGAAACCATGCGTGTGTGCGCAGCTGTGCACATGCGCGCACGCGTGTGTGGCTGCATGTCTGTGATGAAATGGCATAGGACATGCCAACAACAGGTTTTTGCTTGTGTGTTGCCACCTAATCTCACGCATGATTAGGAGAGCAATAGCACCAGTGTCTGAGCAGATTACAAAAGATGCGGGCCTGCCCCTCCGTGTGTGTCTGCGTGCGTGCACGGGTGCCATTGTGTGCTAAAAAGATACGTATTGAACCACTAACTGTCACATTATAACCAGACTCTGTCTGTCTTCTTCCCACCTGTGCGCGCTCCACTTTTGGTTCATACATGCTGGATCTAAATTCTAAAGCGCCGACCTTCATCCACCATCCTCAGTTGTCCTTTTTTTTTTTACATCCTCTGTCCCTGGTGGCCTCACTCCAATCTTGCTGCTCTGTGAAAGGCTGATTGCAGAGATGTCCATGAGTTAGATCAGTAAACAGTCGACACGCTCACTTGACAGATGCTAATGGTTTAATCTCTGTGTGTTTTTTTTTACATTTCTGCCCACCTTCTTGCTTCCACCCCTCTGCTTCTCCTTCACAGCTCGTCCCACACCCTGATTGTATTCCATTCTTGCATTCACTTCCAGTCTCTGCCCAGTCTGTAACCTCCATTGTGCTGATTTTAAATATGAAAATTATGGTGTGCTTGGGTGGAAAGAAATCAGAACAGCAGATGGCTTTTATATTCGTCTTTTGCAACTATGTGTCCGTGTGTGTGTCAACGGGGTCCATCCAACAGCAGGACGAATCATGTCATGATCTTGGGTACAGCACCCCCAAGTGGTATTTGACTGGCTTTTACCATGTTTTTGAACATCTATCCTTTATAGTTACAAGAAAGTTTACGTGAATAGCTCTGTAGCTCTTTCCTATTTATTGGAAATGGGTTAATTAAATGATCACACCATACTAATCTGTCCTAAACTTGAAGAATGTGATGATTGGAAAACTCTTAGTCTTAGTCTCTTTAAGATAGTGAATTATGTACATTTGAAAATATGTTGGTATACTTTTCAAATAAAACTGAAGATCAAACTTAGTTAATTATTCCCAAAAATTATATCTTGCCTAATTAAAAAGATGGAACCTTTGTATTTTATTCTAATTTTAGACTTTCAGTTTAAGGAGTAATTCATTTATTTCTGATTTATTGGTGATTTATTGTTCCCTTAAATATCATTTACATGTGGCTGACCCTAATTTAATTACAGAGGCAGTACTCCAAAAGTTTTAGTCTGGCTGGTTATGATGTTGACTGAATGTATTTTAGAAGCTGTGGAGAGAAAATGATGGCAGAGAGTAAGGGGTGTTCTAAAATCAACATGGAGCTTTGTCACAGTGATGGCATACAAAGTCTCTGCCTCTGATTCTGTGGTATGACATTTTTTACCAAAGGAACATAGCAATCCTTAACCGTCCACGACATACCTTACAGTTTTATTAATGTTTTATGACGTTTCCTAGAACATTTTGGTAAGATTAAACTTCTCCATGAATAAAACGATGGCAATGGTAGTAATAATTTGGAGCTTAACTGTAGCTTTTAGCAGGGAAGCTCCCCTCCAGGTGTCAGCCCAGCTTTACTTCTCAGCACTATATTTTTTCATTATAATCTTATTAGTTGGTTGTAAGTAAAACCCTAATAACCTATTAATACGATGCTGAGTTCTTGTTGAGAGAATGCTATTATAGGTTTTGTCCTGAACTGAGCACAGCTTTGGCTACAAACAGATAAGGCACACTGAACCCAAGGCAGCCCAAATATGGGCTGCACATTCCCACCGTGATACCTTTGAACAGAATATGACAGGGAGCTTTGGAAAAACAGTAAACACATCAGCAACCATGAAGCTTTGAACTGAGCTGTATGAGGTGATCCTTTAAAAATGGGGACTGAAACTAAATACACAGCCCTCATTGTGTCTATGACTTTGCACAGCTTAGACTTCGGCCATCTCAGTCAGTCACATATAAATATGTCAAATACCAAAGCTTTTCCAATGCCCCTGCCAAACTTCAGCCTTGTTTTTTTAATCAAAGCTGTTAAGTGTGCATTCTCTTGAGTCACTTACAATACAGAACTCCTTCACATGTAATTGTACTTCCAAAAGCTCAAAGAAAAAAACAGCCCAGTTTTCAGTCCTGCTGGATGTTCAAATTGAATGGGCTGGTTCAATTTTGTATTCCAGAACTGTACATCTCTGTCCAAAAGTTCCTGTCTCAGCTCAAGGTAATTCCAAAGCTTTACACCCTTAGAGAAAACATCACACCCTCATGCTGAAACCTTTTCTTGCTTCCCCGCCATAAAAGCAAAAAAAAAAAAAAAAGCCTTTGTCCATGCTCTTTGAAATGTCATCTTTGCATTTCAATAGAGATCACCTCTTCTTCCACTCTTAAGTCATCTTCTCTTGAAAGTGTCTCCTTTGTATTCGTGTCACTTGACAAAATGTAGATGAAAACAGCGAGAGCCACTCTAACTCTTAGAAAAGCAGCAGCTGCAGCATCTGGATTACAGGAATCTGGGGTTGCCACTTTGCAGCACAGCAGTAACTAACTGACACAGATAAGTCATATTTGCTTACAAGTCAGCAGACTGTCATGATGGACATAGCCTGCTCTCAAGGTGTCTGAAGTTTGTAGTCTTGTAGACTAAAAGGTGTTTTTAAGGGGGGGAAAGGGGTTTCCTAGATATCTTAACCTGAAACAAACTAAACAAACCTATGAATGTATAGACAGAATGTCATACAGGCAAACAAAGGTAAATATCATTAACACATTATTCACAATAACCTAATACATACATATAAAGAGTAACAGAATTAGTCAGACTCAGTATCTCAGGTGTTTTCACTTTTCACCCCAAAAATGTTGCCATTTTGATTAAAATATACCTTTTTCCTTGATGTCACAAAACAATACAGGCCACCAATCCCCCTAAATTGGAACTATTTCAATTGTATTTGAATGCAAAATCTTTAAAGGTGCCAGCTGTTCTGTTAAGCGCAAGCAGTGGCTGAAAGTCCTAATCAGGTCAAAGCATTTTTGTGCCACACCGGAAGTGAAGCTCTTAAAAGCCAGTTGACAAAGGCTAGCAAAGGTTAGCCGTCAGCAGCGTTCCGTCATTGTGCAAGGATGGAGGTAACACGCCAAAGTAAGGAGCCAGACAGCTTTTGCACTTTGACATGTTTTGCCGTTTGCTAAAAATGTCATGGCTATGTGCAACAGAGCGGTAGCATTACGTATATTTGAAAACGCGCAACGGAAAGGCACATATCGCTGTTTGTGATATTGTTAGCATGCTAGGTAGCGCCGTTCCTAAATGTGCGCAGCTGCTGGCTAGCACGCGCACATGCTAATGTTAATTAGCACTTTTCCCTCCCTCCAGATTTTAAAGACTGTTTGAGCGCTGTGTACAGCGCGATAGACGAGGCTGACTTCCTCGCTATCGATGGGGAATTTTCAGGTAACGCATCCTTTGATGGAAAAAGACGTAGGGATTGAAATAGCCCCTACAGTGTGTCTAAACTTGCATGTGTTTTTAATATTTAGGGATAAGCGATGGTCCTAATGTCAGTGCACTAACCAACGGGCTGGATACGCCGGAAGAGAGATACACGAAGCTGAAAAAGGTTAGTATGGTCTGTTAACACGCCACACTTTGCAGACTGCGGTACTCTGTAGTCCCTCCATCCTCTCTGGCCAACGATCAGAACCTATGATCAGATAATGTCCAATTTGCAGCTAATGGTTTTCACACTTCTTCCAGCATTCCATGGACTTCCTCTTATTCCAGTTTGGATTATGTACATTCAAGTATGACCAGACAAAATCAAAGTGAGTAATGTGCTTCTCATCAGTGCACACATTTGAATAAGTCCATAATCTTTGAAACACACCTTTCTTAAGATGACACAGTCCACCAAAACTGATCAAATAGATGTCCTTCTGTATAGGTCTATAAGATAACAGACCTACTCTAATTTTTTCCTTTTTTTTCCTAGAGATTATGAAGTCTACAAATAATGCCCTACTTTTTTTTAAAAAAAATCACTGCTGAAACAATTTATGGTTCTGGCTCTACAAGTCAGGATGTAATCAAATGTGTTTGTACAGATATAACAAGAAAAAATGTCCAGGATATTGTTAATTTTGTTTGCAAATAAAAATTCACCTCAAATGAATGAATGGGTATGTTTAATTACAGGTTCAGTGAAACATACATTCTTACTTTTAGTCCCATAGATGAACACAAACCAGTACACAGAAAATACAGATTTTTCTTTTTCCAACTCATAAACATGCAAATAATTTCACTTATACTGATTTTAGTTTCTTCTCCACAGGTATATCACAAAGCCTTTCAACTTTTATATATTCCCAAAACAGTTCAATAGGACTTCTCCTGATATAAAATTCATTTGTCAGGTAAGTGTGACTCCTCAGGCTTATTGGACTTATTTTTTTCTTTGGTTATTAATCGAAAAAGAGTGTCCACAAATGCTTGTTTACCCGCTAAAGGATTTTTAAAGCGTGAAAAAGGATGAACTGTATGTTTTTGCAGAGTTCCAGTATTGACTTCCTGGCCAGCCAGGGGTTTGACTTCAACAAGGTGTTCTGCCATGGTGGGTGGAGATCAACTGCTTATTTGATATGAAAGGCATTAAGCCTCATTTTCAAAGGTTTCCCTGTATGTCACTTAAGTTTTTAAAATGTTGTGAAGTACTATTTATCTTGAGAATTTGAATATTAATTTGGGAGGGAGGGACATTTTAAAATCACATCATTTTTTGGAAATTGAATACTTGTCTTGACTTTGATGTGAATCACAACCTGCTGGCTGTGATTTTAGCCCTTAGTTTCTTAAGTATGATAGAGTACCTATTTGTACATGTGGTGTGGCTGTTAACACCCCGTTGCGTTAACTTGCATGAGTCCTTCTTAAGTTTGAAGGAAATCCAGGAACAAGTTGGCTTTTTGCATCCCTGTTTCAATTTGTTTTAGAAGGGCAGACTATGGCCATGCAAGACGTTTGGTTGATCACGTTGCCGTGGCAAAAAAGAGATTCGGCATTATTGAGCTTTGAGTTCTGAAAGATTTGTGCCATCTGGTGCGTTTGGGCCAACAGCTTTTTTTGGAACGGCACATGAATTTTGTGTGGCATCTTATTTGTTTTGTAAATAACATCAATGCATTTTAAGGTAAATGGTAACTTTGTCTACTAAATTGTTGAACGAGTCTATTTCACAGTTTATCAACAGTCATGGTATAGGTTGTAGATGAATACCAGGGAATCATTTTACACAATAAGCTGAAGCAAAGACAAATAAAAACTATGTCGTGCAGAAGTTGAACTAACTGTCTGTTTTTCTAAGGAATTCCATATCTAAAACAAGATGAGGAAGCTCTGTTGCGAGAGCAGACGGAGGAGAGAAGAAATCAACATGCTAATGGTCTTGGGACACCTTATATCTCCCCATCATCCTCCAAAGGCCCTGCACATGTACCCGAGGAACATAAAGACTTCATCAACAGAGTTGTGTAAGTGCTACATGTGGAGGACTCAGTCAGGAGGCACAGAAAATACTAAAGCTGATGAGGAAAAACAGAGAAATTTCCATGGGAACCAGGCACCAGCACTAGAAAACAGGGAGGTTAAAAGGAAATCATCCCATAAATAATTTAAGAATACATTCCCCACTGTAACTGGTTTTGAAAACATAACCTCACATTCAACAACTCTTTTGAGACGTCTTTCATATCAATCTGATGAGAATCTGACTAAGTGTTGGTTGATGAGAGCAGTAGTCTACATAAATGGAGCTATTTCCTTCAATTATGACAAGAGGATAGTCAGTTGTAACTTAAAGCTCAGCTTACCATTTGTCATGACAGCTGCACATAATTACATAGAAGTGCATTCAACCCGAAAACCGTTCCAGTAACAAGTCATTTACTAAATCATTTCCTGAAATCGTTTCCTGAACGTTTTTGATCCAGAAGTGTTATTTTTCAATCTCTACAACATCTGATGTGATCAAAATGGAAAGCATGTCCATCTTCTGTTGGGAATTGCTATCAAATGGAATGGATGGTTCCCATAGTAACATAACTATGTTTTATAAAAAACGCAAAGTTAGTTTTGACGTTTGAGGCAGGTTATTCCCCAAGCTTGGAAATTTATATTCTGAGATTTTATGAATTCAGAATAAAGCCACTACTAAAGCGTCCTGGTGTTGTTAAATTGCACAAATTTACACATTTTAAAGAACAAGGAATCTTTGTGCTTTAGTCAGCTTTTAAACTGATTAATAATTTGTTTTCTGCCAGATGTTTTAAAATCCAGGACTGTAAAACCACACCAAAAGCAGTTAATATTAATGAGGAGCTTTCAGTGTGGTTAGCATCAGTCATTAACTTTCAAACATACTGTCTTAGATTCAAACTTGCTTACCTTGATCACCTTGGATGGTCAGTCTTTAAAAAATAGAGTAGCTTAATGCTAGATTTTGCCTCTTTCTCTTGCAGTGAGAGGGTTGAAGCGCTTTTCACTAACGAAGGGAAGACTTTGGACTTGGAGCCATGCACTGGGTAATCAAGCCTCCTCAGAAAGATTCACTCAAACGGTCTTTATCGATGAATAAATGTGTAAATATTGCATCTCATCAGGTTCCAGAGAAAGCTGATCTATCAGACACTGAGCTGGAAGTGAGTGCTCCCCTTTTTATCTTCATTATTGTTTCAGTTTGTGGAAACTGAACATTTGTCCTGCTTACAGGTTTCCCAAAGGTCTTCATGTGGAAACCCTTGAAACAGAAAAGGTAAGCATTTATACTTTTTTATTTTATTTTATTTATTTATTTATTTATTTTTTACAGCCAGCTTCTTGTTTTTGGTCGGATGATTGATGGATAACACTTCCTTGTCTGTAGAAAGAGCGATTCATCCAGATCAGTAAAGTTGATGAAGAGGAGAGCAAGAGGAAGAAACAACAGGAGCTGGCGAGAGAGCAGGTGAGTTGGGTCACAGTGTGAAACTGTGGGACAACACACAGTATTAACGTAGCACCAGAGCGGGGCTTAATCCCATGTTTCTTGTCCATCCTCAACAGGAGAAGCTAAATGATGCTGTGGGCTTTTCTCGGGTCATCCATGCCATTTCTAAATCTGTGAGTGTTTCATGTTTCACCATAAGGAGAACAGTGAGCTGTGCTCCAGAATATAGATTTTTGTAATGTACAGGAGAGGGAAGCTGTGTTGTATTGCTGCCTTGTTGTTGTATTCATTACCATAGCAATTTTACAGTGCTTTTGTTTCCTGTCGACAGGGTAAACTTGTTGTTGGCCACAACATGCTCCTGGACGTGATGCATACAATCCATCAGTTCTACTGCCCGTTGCCAGAGGTACAGATCAACCTATTAAATGCGCTTCAAATCTGGTTTGTGCTTTATTTCTACCTTTTACTCTCATCTCCAGAATCTTCCAGAGTTCAAAGAAATAACAATGTGTGTGTTCCCAAGGTAATATCCTTTTTATGTTTTCACATCTCTATAACGCGTTTTCTCCTCGTCTTTGTAAGACTTTATTAAATGCATTTATTTATGTTATGGCAGACTTCTAGACACAAAGCTGATGGCCTCCACTCAGCCGTTTAAGGTAAATCTGTAATATTCTTTTTTTTTGGTGGGGTTGTACTTCTGTCTGATCTCTGTGCTACTGCAGATGCATTTAAGGAAAATAGAGGATTATTCCTTAAAGGAATATCAGAGTGACGCTGGCAGTGTTTTGTGTTCCAGGAGCTGATCACGAATACTTCTCTGGCAGAGCTGGAGAAACAAGTAAAGGAGACCCCCTTCAAGTCTCCAGAAGTTGGTAGGGTCACACACCACTTTCCCTGAAATGCTTAAACATAACCCTTTAACAAAAAAAAAACATTTCAGAAAAAGTAAATGGTGGTTTGTTGTCTTTTTTCCTCAGAAACGGCAGAGGGCTTCCCCAGCTATGACACGGCACAGGAGCAGCTCCACGAGGCGGGATATGATGCTTACATCACCGGCTTGTGTTTCATCTCTATGGCCAACCATCTAGGTAATAAAGGTCCTGCCGATGTTTGATAATTGTTGGTCTCTCTGTACGTTTTACCTTTGTTTTTTCTCCTCACAGGCTCTTTCTTGACTCCACCCAAAGCCTACATCGCTGTCCGCTCCAAACTTATCGAACCGTTCTTTAACAAGTGAGTCAAACTTGATTTGCTGCACTCCTTGATTGGAGAAGGTTTCTCAACTAATATGGGATTCTGCTTGATGTTTTCTAGGCTCTTTCTGATGAGGATTATTGATATACCCTACCTCAACATCACAGGACCTGATCGTGAGTTGGTTAACTGAACAAAATAATTCATTTAGCAGAGACTGATCTATTTTTGGTTTTAACTTGCTAGGGGCTGCAATGCCTTTTCGTGTGGGTTTAGCTCAGAGTATTGGAAATGCTGTTCAGGGCCTTCAGTTTAGCAACGAATATTCTATAAGACTGTTTATAAGACACAGAGAATGCTTAACAGATGGTCTTTGCTTTTTCTGAACTCTCAAATGGTGTAACTGCTCATCCCCTGACAGTGCAACCCAAGAGAGACCATGTCTTATATGTGACCTTCCCTAAAGAATGGAAGACTAGTGATCTCTACCAACTCTTCAGTGCCTTTGGTAAGTCCCGATGGTGCACGTTGTTTGCTCTTGTAGATCAGTATTACCTACTGTTCATTACTGTCCATGCAGGGAACATCCAGGTGTCGTGGATCGATAACACATCAGCATTTGTTTCCTTAAGTCAGACGGACCAGGTACAGATTGGTGAGTTTTACATGCCGGCCACATGTACAAAAAAAACCAACAAAAAAGCATTGTGTGAGTCAATGATGTCATGTCTGATTCTACAGCCATGAACACCAGCCGCTATGCAGAGAGCTACAGGATCCAGACGTATGCAGAGTACATCAAAGGCAGACAGCAGGAGAAGGAAAAGCTTGGTCAGCCAGCCAGAACTTGGGGTGAGGATGGCTGGGTGAAACCGCACTACGCCTCCAGCACGGCTTCTTCTGGCTTTGGATATCCCGGGTATGCCTGAGCTCCTAAAGACTCCATCTGGTGTGTTTGCGCTGAAGCTTCTGAAGACCTATGCATTTTTGTCTTTTTTTCTCCTCCAGTATGAGAAAGCGCAGCATCGGTTCTGTTCAGGGAGAGCAGGGAAGCGAAGAGGCGCAGATTACAGATGGCTGGAGCCACTACTCTTACCCAGACGACAGCCCGGGGGGCAAGAAGATAAGACTGGGTGTGTAAGAGTATCATAAATCATTGCTGCTGGGTTTTACAGTAAGCCTCTGGTTGTTGATCCTTATGTGTTAAGTTTTCTGAGAAAGAACAACGCATGCTGCAAATGGGGATCTCATTGAACGCCTAATTTTTCACAATTTTAAGATGGAGGTGGACAGGCCAGCGACGACCCCGTCGAGAGCAAGACATCGGAGGGATGGTTGAAAACCACGTGGGTGAAAAGCGCGCATCACATCTGCTCCGTTGTTCAGTTTGATGTGCTTTGGATCTCTTTAACTGACCTTCTTCTACAGAGATGCATCATATTCATCTGGCTCGAGTCCAGCATCCGACGAAAAAAGCCCCGAAGGCTCAGAAACGGGCAGTTATGCTGAGGGGACGGTCGCCTGGCAACAAGCCCCAACAGTCCCTGGGACGAAAGGTCAAAAAAAGAAGAAGAAAAAGAAGTCTGAAGGTGCGTAGATCCAAGCAATGGCTCTCCTTTTTCCTTATCCAGGCGATTTGACAAATTTAGAGGCTAAATGGAGGTTGTAAAAGTCATTTCCTTATCGTCACGTGTTTAGGAGAATATCTTAATGTCATGCTAACGGTACAATGCTAAGATGGCTGAGTGAAGTTGCTGTATTCCTGCCTGATGCAGTCAGGATGTCTCGTGTGACTGCTGCTCTGATCCGAACATGTCTCCACCCTGTCAGAATCTACAACGTCATTGTTCGAGGTTCCAGAAGTGTGGTAGCGAGAGGTGAGGAGCGGCGAGTCCTGTCACACAGCGGGCTCCTGCTCACGGTCTCATCACTAGCACTTGGGACGCTCTCCTTCAGGGTCCTACAGCACTGGGAGGGCTGCAAACCCGAAATTCATCCATTCACTCACAGCTGTGGATGCAGTGTCCAAAGCTACCAGCCAAGCTACTTGACTCAACTATTTAAAGAGAACACAAGCCATAATGACAGCTGCCATATTTTGACCGGACACCAGAGGAGCAGGCACCTCCTCTGCTTTAACGCATACAGAAATAATCTTATCTTGGAAATATGAGCTGCAGATTTTTTTTCATTTCCACCTTGACGTGTTCAGACTGGAATCTGCCACCCACGGCCATGCATTCACTTTGGATATATTAATAAATTTTACCTCTAATCATTCTTATATTGTGGAGTGCGTGTTGTGTGAGAGTTGCTGCACGTGAGCGAGATGTACATTTTCTCTGGTCCTTTTCCTGTGAATTGGTTTAAAAAAAATTAGATAAAATGCCACTCAGCAGGTCCCATACTTTACAATGTCCGGTTCACTTAGTATTTTAATGCAGTCATGTATTTTTAAAAAAAAAAGGTTAAGTTGTCAACTTCTCCAGTTTTAATAGACACCTGTAAGCTTATCAATAATAATTTGATATTTATTGTTGGTGGCATTCTGATCCCTCATAAAAGGTGCTTATGGTTTTTGTACAGAACTGTTTTTCTTTACCTTTTTGTGTTCATTGTTTAGTATCTGTCAGCCTGTAACGATGCCAGGGTATCTTGCGGAAGGTGTAAACGTTTAGACGGATACATTTTTGTATTAAGTATAAAAATCCTTAAATATTTCCTCTTGAATGGGGGGAAAAAATTAAAGAATGTTTCTTGATAATTTGTTTTTCTTTGTTTTTTTGCTGTCCGTATAACACCTCATTACAGGAACAGCCTGGCTCTCTGTAGTGTAAAAACATGGATGAAGAAGCGGTTAACTGAATGGGTGACTTTACAGATCCTTATTTGCCTAAACTGAAACTACAGAACATTTGGTTATCACCATTCAAAAGTGACTTCATGCTCGTTTGAACTTTTTCTTTTAAGCGGAAAAGGGGAAAACAAAAGTCCCGGCTGTTGACTCTGATACAAACTACTATTCTCCTTCTCCCCCCCAAACATCCCCAATGGCCACAAATTCCACTTGAGACAGGTTTGTGAGGATATCATTTAAAACGGCCAACATCTGGAATAATTTTCTGATTTACACATGGCTGGTGTCGCCTGATAAACACTACAGAGCTCATCAGTTTGCTGTGTCTCAGTTGATGTTTCTAAATTACTTTCATGACATAATTGCTGGTATATATTTACAAACCTATCCTGATGGTATTCTCTGCTTTTTAACAAAATATTTATCAGCTTTTATCTTGTCTTTTATTTGATCTCCTTATGATCAGCTACTTTTTTGCTTGGTTCATTCTCCTTTTCCTCCAGTTTCTTTTACTTCCAGTAGACACAAACCCGGATGGTGAACGTTCGTGCTGCAAAGATAGAAAGAAATATAGTGAGCTGATAAATATTGAACCCAAAGGCTCGAGACGGTGTTGAGTTTTCACCTGGCTGGTCCGAGCAGCAGTACCACTGATAAGGTGCCCTCAGGGAGAAACCTGAAGACTTTTCCCAGCCGGCAGTCCAGCTTCTTCATAATTAGATCCATTTCCCGATCCTATCAATGACACCCCATCATTACACAAAAGGGGAATTAATTCAAAGCGAATCTTAAAGAGGCACATGTAAGCGTCTATGAGCACTTTAATCAGGATTTCTTTCTTAAATCATACAGGGATTCTGTTACCTGAGCCAAAGGACTGAAACTATTTGAAATACAAAACCTACAGACCCTGGTGCAATCTAAAGCAGAATTCAGACCTGTACATGAGAAATGTTTAGAATCAGAAACTCTCATGTTCAAACCCTTTGGATACTGCTGGTTTGTCCACACAGGTTATACTTCTGTGCTACTTTCCCCAGGTCTCCATGCAGATCAAATATTAGGGTTTAGTCTCTAGCAATTCACTCTAGATCAAGAAGACTGTTCAAAATAAATCTAAAGCTCATGTTTAGGTTACAGTTTGAAATGGGTTCAGATATTACAGGTCCTCTGAGACATTCGAACGATACCTACCAATTTTTCTAAAAGTTTTAAAATTGTGTGCTCTGCATGTGTTTCTCCTGAATTTTCACTGTTACCCTTCATGTTTCACACTGAAATGCCGAATGAATGTCACAAAGGCTTAGCATGTCTGAAAGGCTCGGATTTTACCATCTACAAACCACACCAGGATGAATGTCAGAGCTACTACAGCTGGGATGTCAGAGCATCTCCAAAGAGAAATGTTTGTCTTTTTGAAATGTTATTAATTTTATAGCTGTTTTGTAACAAAACTGTATCTTTAAAATCATCTTAAATTAAGAATATCGGAATAAAGTCTGTTTAAAGATGCACCATAAAAACTACTTCAATCACCAAGAATCCCCACCATCTTTCTCTGTACCTCAGACACGTTGCACGTGTGTGGTGTCCTCTGTTCCTCTGCCGTCTCCCCGCCTACTTTTCCTGCCGATGCCATGGCAACCCATGAGTGTAGGTGAGGGGGGGTCAGGGACGGACTGATTAGGTAGCCGTCCTTCAGCAGGTCCTCTGAGGATCTGAGCGCTGCCTGCTTTCCCTCTGAACTCTCAAACTCTGTTGAGCAGACACATTTGAGTTCAAACATGTACAAACTCTCAACTCCCAAACTTTCTGACCAGCAGGAGCCTTTACTCACTTATACATGCGTGCCTCGGGCGTTTTTCAAACTTGGCGGGCAGGACGACGCTCTCCACCGAACCGAAGCGATCAAAGGTCCCTCGGACATTTTCCTCGGACAGTTTAGATGAGCGGGCGGTGGGCCGCAGCTGCTGACCGTTTACCCGAGCGGCTAGCGCCCCGTTGGTGACCGCTGAGCATTTAGCATCTGGTGGGTGCCCGTTAAGCTGAACGCATTCAGCAACGCGCTGACTGAGTTTAGCCGCGTAGAGCAGGTTGGAGTTGAGGGCGTCACTCTGCAGGGCCTCCAGATTCAGGTCCAGGTCCAGCATGGACTGGCACATCGGCCTTTGCACCTAGAATATAACCAGCGTTTTTTTTTTGTTACGACTCTCGACAAGTTCTGGCACGGCTGTAATAAAAAGTGTGAAAAAAAGAAGAGCTACCTTAATGGGCTGGCCCAGCACGCGGACTCCATTCAGATTTTTTACAGCCAGCACTGCTCCTTCCAGCAGCTCAAACTCTATTTCTGCATGAACCTAGAAACCGAACAATGTCAGACGCACACGAGAAGATATGCTGATCGAGTAGAAAATATATAAGAAACATTAGGAAAAACAAAGCGCTGTCATTGCTTGTTAAACGCAGGACGTACGCTGAAGCCTGTGTTCAACATCTGGATCTTCTGCACGGGGCCACAGCAGCGAAACAGCTGCCGTACTTCCCTCTCGGAGAATCCCACGGGGAGCGGCCCGGCAAACACCACGCACATGTCCCCAAGGTTGGCGCACACCTGTCGGACAAACGCAGCCCGTCGCACCTCGGAACAACCCCAAACTAAACAACACACACGTGGCAGCCCTCACATTCCGGTACAGCTGCTCCTGATGGGTGAAGCGCCTCTTCAGGTGGGCTGAGACGGAAGAAAACTCGAGGACAGACAGGTATGGAGTCTTTGCCTGTTTCCTAAAAGATGCCAAGACCTACAGTGGAGAGGAGAGACCTTAATTCACTCCGAATAAAAAGCAGAGGAGGGTTTAATGTCTAATCTATCAACCAGAGAGAAAGCAAGAGTTTGTAGAGTCTGACGGAGCTTCTCTAGTTGAACAGGTAATGGCGTCCTGCGTCTCACCTCCTTGTCTGAGCCGTACCAGTGCTGGTTTGACAGATCCAGAGCTATGTCGGCGCGTTTTCCCAGAAAGGCCACCGACCGGCCGAGCGTCTGCAGTATGTCAGCAAACCTGAACGAGCAAAACAAGGCGCACAGTTTAAGTGCAGCACTGAGGAAATCTCGGTCTCTGGTTAGTTCATTAATTTGATCAATTCTGTCTTTGTAAATTGCTGATTATGCGCAGCAACTGTATCAGACATGTGGATCGCAAAGAAACAGAGGAGTAGAGGTGGATTAATATAGTTACCTGTAACTGGGTGCTGGTGTAGGTGTGCACTCGGAGGAGTCGTCTTCTATTTTGTATCCCCAAAGCTCCTCCAGATGAAGTTCCACAACCTGACAGAACAGAAAACATCTCATCATCTGTGTATCTGTAGGCTTTTTGGTTATAGTTTTGGTCAGGAGGGTGTGCTACCTGACGAGGTCCGGTTCTGATAAAGTACTGAGCCAGCTCCAGCGTTGCCAAAGCATCCTCGATGGGATTATGACCCTTTTTCTCTTCTGTTTGGATTTGCTTCCTGGGAAAGTGACCACAAAGTGTAACTATTACTGGTGGCTGGTTATAGAGGCTTACAGAGGAGGAGGAAACAAGAACTCACTTCAGGACCACTTCCGCCAGAACCTTCAACTTAAACTTCCGTCCTAACTCTCTCCTGTACAGCAGTGAGGTGTCGATTACATGCCGGTGGATTAGCTGGAGGGAGGACAAAGAGGCATTGTTTGGTTTTAGCTTTTTAAATCTATCATAAACTTTCTCTAACAATTCAAAACCACCTTTTACTAATGTTAACTGAAGAGCCCTTAAAAAACTTTTTAATGGAATTTGCATCCTGACTAACACAGGTTAGCTAAACTTAATTTTAGCTCTTAAATCTACATAAAAAAGACCCACTAAACCATAAAACCCCAGAAGAACCTGACTGAAGCCACTCACTTTCAGAGCCATGAGGTCATTGTTGAGGGAATGGCCCACCAGGACGGCGTCGCCCGGCAGCAGCGTTTTAAGCTTTGCCTGGACGTCCTGCAGGGTGGTTTTGACGGGCTTCAACATCGCTGCAGTGATACCAGAGAACCTGTTAGAGAGCACCCAGCAAGGCATGGGGCAGAAATGTGGTTTAAAACACAGCGCGTGAAGTCAACAAAATAAGCTCCATGAAAAACTGGTCCTTTTCACTTTGATGCGATTACTGCGTCATAAAACAGATATAAGAAATATGCATCTAAAAGAAGCAACAAATTTCATATCAGTTGTTTTGTTTAAACAGTTGCAGAACTCCTCTTGCAGAAATCCTTTTTTTTCCCGCTCTACTATTGTGTAGACAGATGATGGAGGAGTGGTGGTGTAGTGGTTAGCATAGCTGCCTTCCAAGCAGTTGACCTGGGTTCGATTCCCGGCCAAAACAGCTCCTCTCTACCCTGTAAGTCGCTTTGGATAAAAGCGTCTGCCAAATGCATGAACATGAACATGATGTGCGTGTGTTTCCTCTCCGAGACAGACAGAAAGAGTGTGAGTGTGAATGTACTCTGTGAGGTAGTTGAGAACGCGGTTCTTGGGTTTAACGAGATCATCCAGCACACAGTTCCCTCCGCTGTCCACCACAGAGACACGGGTCAGCTCCAAGCCCTTCTCTGTTTGGCACTGAAAGGCAACATAAACACACTGATGAACTGCTTCAGAACAGCAGATGGACAAGTGTGACAACATCTGTGGGAGAAGCAGATGCTGCAACAGATGTTTTAAAAGGATTTCCAATCAACAGGTTGGGCAGGAGCAGCTTGTTACAGCACACGTTTCCAGTCATGCATCTCATCGGATGAAAGGATTCAGAGGTAAAAGTGTGAACTGAGCATTTATTCCAGAGCTCCTCACCATTTCACAGTCAAGGCCATACAGAGGGCTGCCGTCCGTTACAGAGTCACTGCTGTCTATACTGTCAAAGTCCTCAAAGCCTGGCAGTCCTGTGTCAAAAAAACACACAAAAAGGTGAAACAATGTGCTGACAAATGTGTTGAAAATGTGGCTACCCACATTTTACAGTTAGATTTCTCTTCACTAAATTTAAGTTTTTACCTCCTTCAGTGACCTCCTAAGATGGATAGATTTTTTTTAAAGCTGTACATTTGAGTGTGAGCATGTAAATAGAATGCTCTTAGGGAAAAAAAGGACATGGAACACATTCAAATTTATTTGTTTTGCTATGATCTTAAGACAAAGTGACCAATCCTAATAAAACGTTTTTTTCTGTGTTAGTGAGTTTTAAACACATATATAAAGTGGAATTGCATTAAAAAAAACACCCCTAAATTCCAAAATGATAAATATCAGCTTTTAAAATGTAAAATAAAACTTTCCTCACCCTTGACGGGATAGCGGTTCTTTATCATCTCTTCCTGGCTGACAACGTAAGCAGTTAATCCTCTTCTTTGAGTCCCAAAGGTGGTGATAACTGGGTGATGTTTCACCGCTGCACCATTAAAAAAAACAAAAACAAATAATAAATCTAAGAAAACGTCTACGAGAAATAAAATATTTGACTAAATGTCATGCAATCATTATATAATAAGTATTCATCTGAGAATTACAGAAGAGAAGAGTCTGACAAACACAGTTAGAAAGAACTGGACAAGCCCAAAGTTGAGTTTAGTCAATTGTGATAACACCCAGACATTTCGTCACACCGTTCTCACCTCTATGCAGTTTCTCGTCTGGATTGAAAACAGATAAACTTTCCACTTTAGGAACTTCCCTTCTGAAGATCTCAGAGGCTACGTTGTCTGGCGATGGAGTGAAGGTGACCCTCTGTAACAATTCAGTAAAAAAAAGGGAAACCGTGAACAGATCTTCTCACTTTAGATGAGCCCTGCTGGTGCGATCAGACTTTCTCCGGTTACTTACAGTGGTGTAGTTGGTACGAAGGTGTTTCATGGAGAGGTAGTTTCTGTAGAAGTGACTCTGGGGCAGACCTTCCACAATCACGATGTTTAAACCCTCAACTTTTTTGTGATTGCAGAGACGGCACCAGCTGATGTAGGCAGAGGGGAGCAGATAGAAAAAGGCAACACGTAAGTATGACAGTTATATTTTTGTAAGTCTGCTTTGAATAGATGGACGCCATCTTAAGTTAGCCACAGAAGCTGGTAAAGTAAAGGACACGTCACTGACGCCTGTCCTTACCTGGGCTGCTTGAGTCCTCCTTTTTTCCCCAGAGCGGCAAAATGCAGAAGCTCTATCAGCTCGGTCAGCGTGAGCGGCTGTTGGAGGCGGGTGAGCGGCAGCGAGATCCTGGGCGATCCGGTGGGACGCCCACACTGTAGAGCTTCATCACCTTCTGTGTCTGCTTTTCGTCTTTTAACCCCCTCCTGTCTCTCAACTGCTTTGTTCTTTCTTTTCTTTCTGCCGCTCAGTACTGCGTCTGATGAGGAGGACTCCATGTTCAAGCTGTTATCTCTGCAGTGGAGTGGGAAAAAAACAAACAGATATGCATTATAAGCATACATAGCTGGAAGGCATCAGTGACAATAGAAATAAACAAGAGAAAAAAAGGAAAGGTGTTGGATTAACTGTGTATCAAAGCATAGACTAGATTTACTAATGTGTCAGTAACAATTACTATGAGAAAGGTTTGTCAATTTAATTTACTCAGACTTGTCCTTTTTATATGTTTACAACTACGATTAGTCTTTTTTAAGTTTATATATAGTCTTTTTATATAGAGTGCATTGACCAGTAAGAGACAGTCATTACAAGTAGTCCGAAAAGTACATATACCAATATTTTACTACGGTAAGTACCAGATGAACACATTAACATCTTAGTATGTTAAAAAGTTATTTTTGACCAAACAAAAGGTGTTTTGTACAACTACTCAGGACACATTCAGCGTTAGGTTCGTTAATTCATAATTGTAGTAAAGGAGACACAGGAAACACTCAAAGCTTAAAACTTTGCTAACAAGTTCATATTTCCACGCACATTGACAGTTCCCGAGTACTCTATAGAACTTAGACTGAGTTCGACAGCAAAAGAAAAGAAATACCATGTGTTGAAGATCCAGCTGAGCCCATGCTACACGGGCTTTTACAGTATTTAGAGTCAGTAACACATTGCTAACGCATGTTACAGACAAAGCTAAAGACGTTAGTCAAACTTCCGTTTAGTAACTTTAGCGATAAAATTACTATACTCGCAGAGAGCGCAAACGGTGGTGAATTGGTAGTTTTTATGTACTCTTGTTGTTTTAAATTCGTAGTCTGGGTTCATGTAGGTGAATAACTTTCCCACACATGTGTTTGTATTCATGATTGATTGAAATGCCAGAGCTTGAATCGTTTACCTCATGCTTTTGCTCTGTAATTAAATTGAGTTTGGTAGCTTCCGGTAAAAAAAGTCAATGGAGTTTTCTGATCAACTTTTCGCCCTTTCTGCTTTCGATCTCGCTGACTTGCAGAACCAGTTAATCGAACCCAGAGTTGTTAATGCTCTGCATTTGAAAAAAGCAGCGCGATTTTCCTTTCTGTTTTCCCAGTTTGATATGCGAGCTGGTGACAGCTCCGAAAGCTTTCTGTTTCCTGGCGTTAACAAAAACCTCATCGGTTCCAGCGACCGATATGTCTACAAAAGAACTGGCTATGTGAGTAAAGCGGCACCTTTGTACCGACAAAACTGTGGACACACAAAGAAACCAGTCCTGGTAGATGTTCATGGTAAACTCGATCGATTGATTGGTTGATTGATTGATTTAGTTTTTATACCTGCACATATCTGTGCAGCTTAACGCAAGTGTTCAGCCTCAAAAGAGTTTTTTTGTGTTTGCATGAGTAGATTTTACACGGAGAAACATTTAAGTGTTTCTGTTCATTTTTGACTAACCGCAACTCTTTAAATTCCAAAGAAAACTGGGACTCCTGAGGCAACGGAGTAAGTCCTCTGGATCTAAGAAGTCGCTGGTATCAAGTGAGTGTGATCCTTTCATTTGTTTAGATCAGATCCTAATGGATCACAGGAGTAAAGTCTGTTCTCTTTCAGATCAGCTGTTTTCATACTTGATTGTGATTGATTTTGAGTCCACTTGCTGGAGAGAGAAAAACAACTCCAGCCAAGAAATTAGTAAGAAACGCACTTGAGATTCAGCTTTTGAGGTTGGAATTGTTCCCGTTGTCATACGTCCATCTGTCCATCTGTCCCTGCAGTTGAGTTTCCTGCTGTCCTCCTGAACACATCTACAGGGGAGATTGAGTCTGAGTTTCACACATACGTGCAACCCCAGGAACACCCGGTTCTGTCTGAGTTTTGCACAGAGCTGACTGGCATCGTGCAGGTTTTGTGCTTTAACTGTTTGCACACAAAAACAGGTCTAGTACTATAATACTATACATTACTTACAGTCATGTGACGTCTTTGTCTCACAGGAGCAAGTGGAGGCCGGGATCCCTCTCCAGATCTGCCTCTCACGATTCAACCGCTGGCTCCAAAACCTGCAGCTGAGGATGGGAGTGGCTTTTCCCAACAGACAGCAGGCATCGTCATCCACGCCGGCGGTTTCTCAGAAGCTGTGCACTTTCCTCACGTGGTCAGGTAAAAGTAGCTTGTGTTGGGTTTTAAATTGGTGGTCATACTTTGGCTGAGCAACGCCACCCTCATCACATGTTCCTCCTCCATCTACGCCATGTCTCAGACTGGGATCTTGGAGTTTGTTTGCAGTACGAATGTAAACGGAAACAGCTTCACAAGCCAGATGTTCTAAACAGCTGGATAGACCTGAGAAGCACATACAGGGTAAGTTCCAGTTCATTTGCCGTATTCTTTTCTATTACCATCTCCGTCAATCATCCTGTTTTGTTTATGTTTTTTATCCTGAAATATTCAAAAAGATACCAGGTTGCCAGACTAGATTAACAGATAAAACGGTTATATCCAATTTTGAGAGACCACAAAAACTTTATTTCCAGCCATAAAAAGCAAATGAAAAGAGCAAATATTTTTATTTATACTTTTTTTTTACTCTAAGTAAGTAATTTTTTCTCCCCAGCTGTTTTACGACAGGAAACCCAAAGGCCTAAGTGGTGCGCTTCAAGATCTGGGAATACAGTTTTCTGGGAGGGAACATTCTGGTACAGATTAAAAAACATTGATATCTATAAAAGAATATTCTATTTTCTTGGTAGATGTACACATTAACCCCCCTCTCTTCATCATCCCTTCATGATTATTTCCACTTGAGGTCTGGACGATGCCCGAAACACAGCTCAGCTGGCAGCAAGAATGATGAGAGATGGGTGTGTGATGAAGATCACCCGGAGTCTGGAGCGGGTGAGTGGCCACCTGCTGACGTCAAGAGAACCCACCTCCTGAAAACCCTACAGAGGCTCTTAAGGATAACTCTCAACGTTGTGCTTTTTTTTTTTCTTTTAATAAAGTTGACATTTTCAAACTTTATATTATAACTTGAAAGAACTGTCCCTGTGAGATACCTCAGAATGCTGATCTGCCAAACAAATGGACATGAAATTGCTCAAGAAAGTGGGAATAAATTAGCTTTTTCTTTTCAAATTTATAATTGACTTGGTTCAGTTTAGGATTTTTTTTCTCTTCCATGTTATATTTCGGTTTTCTTTTTTAGTATCATTTTATCAGATTTTGTAAAATGTATTGTGGAAATGCTTAATAGTATTCTCACAATTAATACATGGAAAACTGGTCTGCAGCAAATCATGATCTTGGTCCCTTCCTACTGCTTTTCTTTTGTGTTCTAAACTTGCATGAAAGTTGGTTTGGCAAGTTTGCTGAGCTTTTTCAGAAAAATAAATTAAAAAAGAGGGGTTTTATTTTTAATTGTTGACAGTCTTCTCTTCCCACAGCCCACAGTGATGGTCAAACCCCCGTCTGGAAGCAACAGGCCAGCAAAAAATGAAAAGGAAAAATTGAATATTCAAGAAAAAGAAAATGTGACCTCCATCAGCAAACACTGTCCATCCAAAACGACTCTCGAAACTATTCAAAAACTGTCGTATCAAGAGCATACTACAAAGAATGGAGGCTCAAAGGGAAGCTCAGACATGTCCAATGGTCAAACGTGTCTTAGCTTGATTTCGCCAACCACTCTGCTGAGTGTCGCACCACTTGGAAGTCACAGCTGCAGGCCGGTTACAACACAGGCTGCTAACATTTCATCGACAGCGAGGATGGATGCACCTCAGAGGAACAGCAGTCACGTTCTGTGTTCTACCACCGTCAGCTGCTTTTCAAACCTACCTCAACCGGACCAAGGCCCCGGAGCAGGACAGGAGGAGAGGGCAGAACTGCTGGTGGAAACAGAGGAGAGGTGCGGCTCTTACGATGATGTATTGTTGGGGGCTGATGACGATATAAACGCAACGGGCAGAGAATGTGACCCCGAGTACATTTCAGATTTCGACAGTGGATGTTACGAGTGGGAAGAGTCGGATGATTCCCATTCACCAGCACGTCCCTTCCCAGACGAGGATGGAACGAGAGAAACTGTGGCTGCTGGACGCAGATCTGAATGGCAAAACATGACCAATGGTTCATCGGTCCTCTGTAAATCTATAAAGACGTCAAACTACACCGTCAGACACGCAAAGGAAATTTTACAACCAACAACATCATTAGATTCAGACACCTGTTTTGCGGTGCCTAAACCTGTAAATTGGAACAAATCAAATCATAGCAAATCGGGCCTCAAAACCTCCTCAGAAATCCAATTCCAGTTAAAACGATCCCACGTAGGTTATAAGACAAAAACACCCTCTCCGGTCAGGCTGAAGCCCTTCGCGCCCGGAAAGACATCCACCCCAAACGCCTCCTCTGTCAGGCCAAAACCGATCGCCACAAAGCACTCAAAACCCCCTTTTCCCATCTTCTCTGAGCCAGCATGCCAGGCCGTGGGGGCGTCCGGACCCCCGCACACACCCCAAAACGCCCTCTCCTCTTTGTCAGTCAATGCCAGTCGCTTGGGGCTTCCCGCTACGGCGAGGGGGCCTCAGAGGATCACCGCCCCTCTGTGCCTGTGCGGCCGGCGCGCAAAGCGGCAGGCCGTGTCAAACGGAGGCCCTAACCACGGGCGGGGCTTTTACTGCTGCCCCGTCCGGCGCTCGGGCCACACGGGCAGGGTGGAGAAAGGATGTGAGTTTTTTAAGTGGGAGTCGGCCCTGAGGAGGACGACCTCCGGGGCTGTTAGGTCCTCTGTGTCGCTCTGTCACCCAACTAGTTCATCTCTTCATCAACGTCCAGCCCACAGAGCACCGCTGAGAAAAAGCTGCTGACCGGTTTGAGAAGCAGCTGTACGGACATTTATCAGTCGCGAAGACACAGTGGCACAGAATGTAGTCATTTTGTAATTAGGATATCTGAATTATTCTTTTACTTCTGTTACATTTTTTTTAAATGAAAACCTCTGAAAAAATGAGTCTGGAAACAGATACTTCTAATTGATTTTACTTACATGTTTTAGATTTCTCTTATTACTGCTTTTATATTACTTATATTGTCAAAGGTTTTATTACCCACCCTTGAAATGATTTTTTTTTTATCCGTATAATTCCCATTATGATATTTATTCACTTCGGAACGTGTGACCTTTACACATATTTTAAATAAAGACATAGAGGACATTTGTGGTGAAATATAAAATTCTAATCATATTATTCAATGTGTTGAATTGTTCTATTTCATGTCTTCATGAGCTAAAAATAAATTATTTTGTAACAAAGTGAGTGATATTCACAGTTGACGTTATTAACTTCGCTCTTTGGCGTGGGCCATACTTTTTGTCCCTCCCGACTCGCCGTAGAGGATAACCAACGTGCGGTGTTGTGACTGAAACGTACTGCCTCGACCAAGCTACAAGTTTAACCCGAGCACGTGTGGGGGCGGCGAGCAGCACGAATCCAGTAACTCCTCAGCGTTCCCGCCGTGTGGAGGCGTCTGCCCTGCGAGTCCCGGGAGCCGTTAGCTAGCTAAACCCGCGCGGCTAGCGTCCGAAACAAGGACACGGTGAGGGGGGGGAGCGAGAAAAACGAGAGCGAAACCGGCCGGCGGTGTGCAGATAAAAGTCAAGAAAAATTCCAACCCGCGTAAGCTGCCCCGAGAGCCCGACGGAAACATGTCAGAGGCGCAGAGCGAGACGAGGAAACGGAGCAAGAAGCACTACGCGGCCGGGCACCACAACAAGCGGTGGAAGGGGTCCCGGGAGCTGGAGGTGGGCATGCAGGGGATCCTCATCACATGCAACATGAACGAGAGAAAGTGCACCGCGGAGGCCTTCAATCTGCTCAACGAGTACGCTGACCAGCTCTACGGGCCCGAGAAGGTCGGTTCACACAGCCAGTCATCATAACACTGAAGTGAAAGTAGTACTCAAGAAACAAAACTCGTTTGTTTGAATTCATGTTAGAAAACAGCCGCTGTGTTGCTATGTTCATTCAAGCCTATTCACAGACTCAGAAATGCATGAATGAAAGCAAGTTTTAAGTGCTATGTACGCAATCCAAATGCGTTATATTAATAATTGATTATGAATAGATGTCTGACTTGGAAGTTCTGAAGAGTTTTAATAGGAATAAGGAAAGCTGAGCATGATCATTCGTTTTATTACAATGGATCAATCAAGGGTTTATTTGACGGGTGTAAAAGAGTAACCAGAGTAAAATGCATCAACAAATAGCTAAATAAATTCTAAACAGCTGTGTACCAGAGGGAGAACAGATTCTTAGCTGTTTTGTTTTTTTATTTTATCACAACCTGGAAACCTATTAAGAGTTTTGTGGTTCCCCTCCGGCATTCACAAACACTAGTACGTAACCCTGTGCAGCCCCTCTGGAAAAAATCAGCCCCCTGATAGAACTTTTAGAAGTTAAGCTAAAACTTCTTTTTTAGCTGAACATTTCCAAAAAAGACGCATAGTCCCACAAAGTAACGTCCCTCTGCCAGCTGGGCAGCAGTGGGTCCAGCAAAGATGAACAGGAATGGGGCCCGGAGGTTCTGTAGATAAGAACCAATCACTTCTTAAAGCCCTCAAATAATGCTGCACCTGTCACTGAAACAGGTCCACGTACGACTACGATTAATGCTTTTGAATCCCTTTTTTTTACATCATTGTTTAGTCTTCCCAGCTGTCGGATAACAATGGAAGCAGCGCTGAGGAAGAAGATGCTGAGGAAGAAGATGTGGACGTTGCCCTGAAGAAGGAGGTGGCGCAGCTGCAGGCGTCGGGGGCCAAACAGGAGCGGCGCTTCCAGGCGCTCGACAGCGGAGCGAACAACGTCATCTTCATCAGAACCCAGAATCTTGGTCAGAATCAAAGCGCGTGAAACACAGTCGCTTTGGTTATTTTTAGGATTTATTTTTTTAATAGTCGATTCTTCTGTGTCCTAGAATCTGATAAACTGGTTCATCACATCCTTGCTGATCTCCACACCACCAAGAAGAAGAAGTCCCGCGTGATCCTTCGAATGCTGCCGGTGAGAGGCCCGAATGGATCTCAGTCTTACATTGTTAGAGAAGTTAAAGTCCTAGTGTAGTTCACGCATTCACGCTTTTGTCTTTCCCGCCTCCCTCAGGTGACCGGGACATGCAAGGCCTTCCAGGAAGACATGTTGAAGTACCTGACCACGTTCTTGGAGCCCTGGTTCAAAGCCCCCAACTGTGCAACCTACCAGATCGCCTTCAAGGCTCGCAACAGCAGCCACAACAAGAGGGAGGAAATCATCAAATCCATCGCCGGTACACCTGACACCATCTTGGGTTGTTGTTGCACTCGCCAACCCAAGAAAAACTAACCTGTCCTTTTTTTCTCTCTCTCCTCTCACCTCGGCAGGTCTCGTGGGGAAGCTGAACCCCAAGAACAAGGTGGATTTGACCAACCCAGAACTGACAATCATCGTCGAGGTCATCAAGGCCGTGTGTTGCATCAGCGTGGTAAAAGACTATACCCTGTACAGAAAGTACAACGTGCAGGAGGTGGTGAAAGAGGAGGCGGCCAAGCCCGACCCGGCAAAGGCCGACACGGACGCCACCGGCCAGAAAGAGAAAGACGATGGGGAGGCGACGGGAGAGACCAAGGAGGACGAGGACAAAAATGTGTCGCCCAGCGAGGGGGAGGTTGACAAGGGTGAAGAGGGGGGAGACATTTAAAACAAAAAAAAAAGAAGCAGCCAGTTGGTGTGACATAATATCAAGTTTCTTTTTTTTTTTGTAGTGCTGTTTTTGTGTTTGTTTTTTTATGAACCCATGACATTTGTCCGAACATAAGGTTGATCAAGAATCCGAGGGGGTCCCTGTAATCCATGTTTTCCGTTTTTTATCTGCGCATAAAGATATCAGACCTCCACAGATGTCCTTTACTGAGCTGAACGTTTCAGAATCAGTGGTTTTGAATTGTCAGTGCGGAGCATCATTTTTTTGCTACAAACGCTAGATAAGCTTTGTTTTGTCTTTTCAAAGATTAATGTAAATTTAAATGTCAGTAGGATCCTAATTTTAATGTTTTTACATTCTAATTTTTCTTAAAGGTGTGTTTCTCAGGTGAACAGGTGTGTGACATCAGAGACGTTGGAAGGTAGACACCTGCCATTTAGATAACATCGTCAGGTCGCCTCTGAACTCCGGGAACGTTTGATAACTGTCCGCTTTTTGTAACTGTTATTTTCTAAACCAGTTGTCGAATTAAATCCTCCTGTGTGTGGCCTCCCACGTGTTCTCCACTTATTTAATGATGCGTCACATGATTAAAAGATGTTAACCAAATGGTGTTTAAAATCTTTTAATGGAGCCACGCCCACAAAAGTCACAACTCAAATCAGATGCAGAGATTCACAGAAACTTTAGGGTAAATTTTCCAAATCCGATGCTCAAAGCTGCTAAATAGAAGTAGTTTTTTTGTCTTTTTGCTGTAAGGATGAGGATGACGGGTTATTCCTGATGGTCCTGTGAACCAACACATCATAAAGCTGAAGAAAAAAACGACTCTAACCTTTAATAGACCACAGACCAACATTTCAGGTTTGGTCAGAAACTGGTAAGAGCAGGAAAAATGTCCCAGCTGTAATTGTTCTACATTCCACTGGATGGCATTAAAGCCCCAGTGTTTCCAGTATGTGTGACATAGATGTTCTTTATGGGTGGGCAGTGTAACTAAATAGTAAAACTATTTCTGGTACCTAACCTTTGTTCTAACTATACATCATGTTATTAGGGATTTTACTCGTTCCAAACAGGTGTTGATTGTAAAAAAGATATACATAATTTCCTGGCTGAGCGTTTTAAGGGAGAGTAAGTCACTGATGGAATTAATTACTCGTGAATTTCACTGTGAGGCACCGAAATGACTCCCTTTGGATGGACTGCATGTTTCAGAATCTTTTTTAGAAAGTGTGAAAAATCGTGTAATATGTTTTGTTTTCTACTCGCTGCGTGGTGTTTGTCTTGGCTTGGTTTGGGAAAGAGTACAGTCTTATGTCAGATAAAGACACAAATTCTACAGAATTACATGGGTTCTGTTCTCTTCATCTCCCAAAGCTTTCCCCAAAGGATACAAAAACCACACCGGGAGCTTGGTTTGTTGTTTTGTGGGTGAACACATTCGAAATCGATATCTAAAAAAACAGGGAAACAGTGACAGAGAAACAAAACAATGTGCTATGTTGTGGATACACTGCAGTGGTGATAATTAGTCATTATAAGGACCTCCAGTTCACGTTCTATGCCCCGTCACGTACACACACAAACATGCATTAAGTGATTTGTGAGTCCTTTTTCTGCTCATTACACTCTGGCTGAACTGTTGCTGTGACCCACCAATCGTTATCTCCAACACGTACGGCAAAAAAACTCGCAAATTATGTTGTGACAGGACCCGTGACAAGCCCACAGCTCCAGGGGAAAGAGGGAAACAAATCAGGCTGCTCGTGTTTTATTAGTGAAATACCAATTAACTGTGTAACCGGGCCTCATAATGATATGCCTGCTAAAACTCTCTGACAGAAAGCAGTGTGTCAGGGCAGGAGCAAATGCAAAATAAACAATGCTGTAGAAAAATACATTTCAATATTTTTAGAGTTTGTATAACCTGCCGAAACATAATAGATGCTACAGTTTACTACTCAGTGAAACGAAGGGTCTTTCTTTTGCTGCGGGAGGCAATTCAGAGATTTTAATCTCCAGCCTGGCACAACATAATAAAGAAATACATTTATTATTTTCTTTTTCTTTTTTACAGGAATAACCAAATAGAATTGTCAACAAGAGCATAATCTCTAATGTTTTAATTGACCCTAAGGCCATGTCTAATTAAACCCCTGTGGGCACTAAAGCCACTGTTTTTCAGCCAAAGGTGTACCTCACCGGTGTGCCACACATGAGTTTGCACTCATTCAGATCTAAATGTCACAGGCCTGTGAAACAATTCCATCCACCGGCGCATGTGCACACAGTCCCTGGGGTCAGGATTAGCATCCACTGGTGTGGCTCCATAGCTGACCTTTATGAGTAGCTAAGTAGTGCTCTCCGGGGTCTCATTTGCCTCACTTCAACCAAACAATGGTCTCAACCGCCTCCCGACCGCGGCTCCATCTCACCGTACGCGCAGAATGAAAATCCACGAGTGTTAGAACTTGTCAAGGAATACTTTCGCTATATGTGAATAAGACATTCATGACAACCCCTTAAAAATTTACTGTGGGGCTCTTGAATGTTCTGATCTGATCTTGGATTTTACCATCAGATTTCATTCATCGGATTTTGTTCGTAGCTGTGCTTCAGATAAAATGTTGTGACAACAGGAACGATAAAGCCCGCTTCTTAAAATGAGGTAAAGAAAAAAAAAAGTGGTCTCATTTAGTGGTACAATGCTACAGATTTTCCAGCAAAAGTTTTTTTGGTCTTTTCTCACCCGTTAAGAGGGATAATCACTACTCATATTTATCAAGTTGCAAAGTATATAAAACCGGCTATTCAGTAGTTTTAACCAAGTTTGCCTCCGGCTGTCACTACGCTAATGTGTTGCTTACACAGTAACATTTAATATCAATAATACAAATAATCAATGTATTTTAGGTTGTCTTAGTGACCAAACCAGGACTTTTAAACTTTAAACTAATAATGACAAAGCTATTGATTAACCTATTTTCATGCAGGATTTTTGACCTTATCAATAACCATATTATTACAATTTTTTTTCACCGTCATATACTTCATTCATATTTTATTTACAGCACTTAACTTAGTACAGCCGTTACATTATGTATCGTTATTATGTAACGTTATTATGTATGTCTTTAAGAGATAAGAGCTGAAAACATGAATTGTAGATAATTAGAATGATTACAGCATTGTACAAATATGAATTCAAAACATTAAGACGCAGGCATTTGCAACATGGTGACTTTCAGCTACATTGCTTGCCTTTTCTTGACAAAATTATAATACATTCATATACAAAAAATAGATTTTTGAAGAAAGGATCAAACTAATAATGTGTTTTGGGTCCAGTACTTCAGAACAGATGGAACAACACAGGGATGAACCTGCTCCTGCCCCAACCTTTCTCTCCTTTAAATAATCTGCTTTTATTCAATTTGAAGTCCAATAATAACAATTTTCCAAAAGTACCCATTCAATCATTTTTTTGTACTATTTTTACATGCATGTACATTTAAAATGTTTTGCAAATCAGTGAAGTAAACTGACGTTCAGGAAATGTGGCCGTTACAATGAAAATGGAGCTGAAACAAAAGAAACAAAAGAAAGATTAGCCAGAAAGGTGGTTAAGACACAGTACAGCTGTGTTTCTTTGGCTGCTTGCTAAGTCTTCCAGAGCAGACCAACGCTGATTTAGAGACAATGAATGTGGTTTCTGGCCGATAACAAATTAGAGGCCCCGAAAATGACCACAGAGTTAAACCCTGTGTGTCTATCTGCTGCAACAAAAAGCCATTGTGAGTCTTGCCAATTTGTTATTTTGGTGTGCTGCTATTGTAAAGTCAGAGCTTTCCCATCCCCTCGAGGTATGTGTCAGCTTCTGACACCTCCCCTCTTTTGTCATACATGTACATGGTAAATTGATGTACACGTCAGTGATTTATTTAGTTATTTGCATCTATTGTTTGAAGTGATGGAATGTACTTGGGAGGACATCTATTTTTGCATAAGATTGTGTGTTTGCGCGTCAGTGTGGTTAAAACACGTGTATGTGACCGGCTATGCGAATGGGGATTGATAATGAGAAATTCTTATCAACCCTCAGCAGCCTCTCAGCTCACTGCTATTAGCTGTTACCCCAACAATCTTACAGGTAGGCCAAGAGTGACTCTTATTGATTCCAAACATTCCAGTTTGTCTTCCCAGAAGGCAAGCAATCAGCAGACGGATTTAGCTGATTAGGATTATGGGTAAGTCATTTGTGCAGAAACTAAGTGGGCTTTTTTTAGCAGAGCTATTAATGTGGAATGAGTTTTCTTTATACCTGGGCTTGAGATGCTTTTTGAATGTAAATTAATACGTATGCCAATGGTTTTTCAATGAGACAAATGGTTGCATATTTTCTGAAGCGAAACAGTTTGTTGAGTTGACGGTGACTCAAAATAAAATGGATACACGAGCGAGCATTATTGTTTACATGGAGTTGTTTCCATCTGCATCATATTCGTAGCTGAGGGTCCTTTCAATATAAGTGAGTGTCTTTGGCTGCAGTGAAACCCGTTTAAGTTAAACGGTAACAAGGACCTTGACAATTAGTTGGACAGGCGAGGCCAAGCTGGGGCAGAGAGGCAGCGGGGCAGCGTTCAGAGTGACAACGTGAATAGACACCAGAAGAACAGAAGGCCAGCATGACCGAGGACTGATAAGAGTAGGAATATAACCTGTACAACAACCATGTTACCACACAAATAATTGCTCACTTTCATTCTTTTTTTATTCTTCTTATTGGTGCTAATTCCCATCTGTTTTCATTCCATATATTACATTAGCTATAGCTAAGGTCCCAGAAAAGAAATAAACATTTTATGAAAAAAATCTATGAAAAATGCAGTTGAATGACCAAAAGAATTAATTATCATGACAGATAATTTACTTTCAGCTCCACATACACAAATAAGATTGTTTTCTCTCTGTAAATTTGCTTCTCCTGAATGTTGTTTATTGTGTTGAGTGTTTTGGGTGGTTTGTTGGAGCAGAATTCTCACATATACAATTTTGCGTCTCTTCTTGTTTTTTTGTGGTTCTTCTTAGCATTTATTTTATAGTACAAAAGGAAAGAGGGCAGACAGACAGAGGAAGGGCCATGGGCTGGAACCACACCCAGGCTGCCTGCACAGGATCATAAAGCCTACATACGTGGAGCTGTCCACTCGACCCACAGAGCTGAACCCCAGACCCATTAGAGCTTTTCGACATGTTGGAGATATTGTAAGCCAAATCGAATTTCTTAACTGTTGTCTTTCAGATACTTGTTTATGTCCACAAAAACAATTAAATGTGTCATGTCCCTAATCTATTTAACTAGTAACACATTTGTCATGTGCTCATCCATGATCCAGTTTGATGTCTGTTTTATTTATAAATGTATTTCATAATTTCTTCATATTGATGAGTCTCCGAATTTGGCCTGTGACCCTGCTATGGTCTTAAGCTATAGGCTAAGAGTCACGGCTTTATGCTGATTTATTTGATTAAAACATTGTTTTAACTGCTTAAATGTTGGTTCTTGGTGTACTTTTTTCATAGCCAGTTCAGGAACTTTATTT